GTAATCCAGGGCCATTTGCTAAGTATCTACGGGAGTGTGGTATAGTTGCGCAGTACACCATAGCAGGTACCCTTGAGCAAAACAGTGTAGTTGAACGGAGGAATAGCACTCTTATGGATATGTTGTGAATTATAATAAGTAATTCAGCTTTACCAGATTTTTTGTGGGGTGAAACTCTTAGGACTGCTGCATATATCCTAAATCGAGTGCCGTCTAAGGCGGTCTCAAAGACTCCTTTTGAGTTGTGGATAGTAAGAAAACCTAGTTTAAATCACTTGCGTATCTAGGGATGTGCAGTATAGACTAAATTATAAAACCCACATGAAAGGAAACTTGATCTTAGAACAGTCAATTGTTATTTTGTAGGATATCCAGAGAGGTCAAAAGGTTATAGGTTCTATTGTCCATCACATAGTACCAAACTTATTGAGATCCTAAATGCTAGGTTCATTGAGGATGGTTACACTAGTGGGAGTATAGAGCCTAGGCACATAGTATTTGAGGAAAATCGAAATATAAATTTAGTTCTTCGGAATGACGTAATTATCCCACTCGCTACCATGCAAGATAGTGATTTAAGTCATCAGGAGCCTGATGAGTAAGCACCACATAGAAGAAATCTCAAATGAACCATTAGTTCAACGAATGATGCCAAAAAAGTCAAAAGACAATATTACCTTAAAATAAAACAACATAGTTTGCAGCTGTATACACTTAAAGTTGCTTAGGTATAAAGTGAAATTTAGTGAGCCAATAAAATTATGACAACACACCTTGAAGTCAAATATTAACTGTCCATCGTACCATTAAACCCTAATGACTTCAAATCCCCCGAAACAAGTTTATCTAGAGAAAAAATGTGTAGTTTACTATTAGAAGAAAGAGAGAGTGTTTACGAAGAACGATAATGGAGAAGGAGAAAGAGTAACAAGTTTACTTGGCTAGACTTGCAGAGCAAGCCGAGAGATGCGATGGTAATGCTTTATGCTACAATTAATATTTAAACATATACAAACATATATATGATGGTATATGCATGTATCCTAATCAACCCTAAGCCACAACCCGACCCATCACCATCTTCAACCCAAACTGCACCGGCAACCAGGCACAGATCTACTATGGGCTCAATAGGGCATCCGCTAAAATTGAAATTTTTTGTTTTTGTATTATATACCTTGAATTTGTATATATATATTTTTTAATATATTATATAACCATAAAATTTTGAAATACACTATCAAACCCATCAACAACACAACCAAGCACTCCTACCAATAATCAAATTTGCCGGTCTCATCGACAAAACAAGAAACCATCTCTGTATTACAAAAATAAAATTAGTTACTATATATGTACATATATTGATGGTCTAAATTACCTTTTTTTTTTTTTTTTTTTCCTCTACAACATTAATAGATTACCATTTTTTTTAGGGCTTAGCACTGTTCGGATTTGGGGTCAAAGGGAATCCAAACCGGTCTCAATGGATTGATAAGTTGTGAAACCGAACCAATCCTTGGGAATACTCAAACCAAACCAAACCGATCCATAAAATAACGGATTGGACGTTTCCATAGATTGGAAGTCGACAATGTTGCCATGAACAGAGAAGGAAAAAGATTTATCGGAGAAGAAAGGAGATTTTTTGGAAAAAGAAAGAAAATCTGTTGTGAAGAAGATTTACTGAGAAGAAAGAAGATTTGTCGGAGAAGAAAGGGGACCTGTTGTGCTTTAGCTTTGGCTGATGAGAGCGTCTCTCCTATGTAATTGTGTGTACTATTATCCAAATTATGGAACTTCCGCTGCAATCGTCCCTATCTGGTAACTAATCTAAGAAGATAGTAGGAGCATCTGTTGAAGACAATGTGAGATTCCCTATTGTCTATAATGCAATACCTATCACTTTACTCAGAATATATATATATAATAGTGTGTATTTATTTATAATATAATATTTAACCATTTTACCTGATATATATCTGTAAAATATTTGAACGGATTGTCACATATCGGTTCGATTTTTTCAGCACCTAATCTGTTAACCGATCTACTACGGATTATTAATTTTTCAAATCATCACCGAACCATGAGAATAGAAAACCAAAACCGAACCGCACGGATAGGACTGGATTGACAGGACTGGATTGACAGATTGGCGAATTATTTGAACACCCCTAATTTTTTTCCCCTATTTTTCCTAGAAAAAAAACTTGGATTACAATCTCTGTTGAGGGCTTGGTCTTATATATAGACCTGTAGAGAGAAAGTTCTACGAATTCTGTCACAACAGAGGGAGAAATTGGGGAAAGGTATGAGAAGACGATGGCATCACCAAAATTGACATGCTAGCGGTAGAAAATTGGTTAAAATGATGGCTTCCAACACTCTGCCACCCCCTATCATCATAATCTTCTTCAATCATGCCACCAACCTAATTTCAATTTTATATATCTCTGTAGAGAGAAAGTTCAGCAAATTCTGTCATAGCAGAGGGAGAAACTGGGAGAAGGTATGAGAACACAATGGCAACACCAAAATTGACACGCTAGCGGCAGAAAATTGGTTAAAATGATGGCTTCCAACACTCTGCCACCCCCTATCATCATGATCTTCTTCAATCATGTCACCAAACCCTAATTTCAATTTTATATATCTCTGTAGAGAGAAAGTTCTGCAAATTCTGTCATAGCTGAGGGAGAAACTGGGAGAAGGTATGAGAACACGATGGCAACACCAAACTTGAAACGCTAGCGGCAGAAAATTGGTTAAAATGATGGCTTCCAACACTATGCCACCCCCGATCATCATGATAATCTTCAATCATGCCACCAAACCCTAATTTCAGTTTCATCATACGAGAAGAAATTGAAGGAGATAGAAAGAATGAAAGAAGGAAGAAGATAGATATATTGTAGCTTCTTCGTCATTTGGGTCTGAGCTAATCTGTACGACGAAGAGAGAGAACCCTTCTTCTTTATAACAGGCTTGTTCCTGGTTTTGATTGCAATCACAATCGAGAGAGAAGCATGGTGGTGGCGGAGGGTGGTATTGGAGTTATGATCGGATATAGGGTTTTCTGAAATTGGGTTAGGGTTCTAACGATTTGGGGGTATAAGGGGTGTGTATGTATTGTGTATATAAGATGTGTTACGATCACAAAAGGGCAATTTGGTATTTTCAAAATTTTAAGGGCATTATTGTACATAAAATTCAATTTGTATGTCACAACCACGGGCTTCAGTCATGATCATTTTCTGGATGGACGGTAGCCGAAAGGGGCAATTTGCAACAAAATTGCATAGTTTAGGGATTTTTTATTTTATTTTATTTTTTTTGCATATTTTGTAGTTCAGGAAGTTTATTGCATGTTTATCGGGGTTTATTGCATTTCTACCCTAATTTAGATTCAAATTCAATGAACAACATAATTCATTTATGTTTGGTGTGCAGAAATATAATAGAATAAAAGTGAGAATGGAATGAGAATGAGAATGGAATGGAATGGTCATTCTCATTCTATTATGTGGTTATAAATATAAAATGTGTAAAAATGGAATGATTATAATCATTCTAGTGTTTGGTTAGACCAATTTAAATTTTAGAATGGAATAAATTTCTAATTGAGTTCTTCTAAATATCCCTCTTAGTAATAAATAAATTAAATTAACAAAATAACATTTTTCTATAATTTTTTTAAAATAAATGGTGACAGTGGCGGTGGAGGTGAAAAGCGGTAGTGGTGTATGTGGTGGTGTTGGAAAGCGGAAGTGGTGTATGTGGTGGTGTTGGAAGGCTGCAGCGGTGGTGGTGGTGTAAGGCGGCAGTCGTGTTAGTAGAAAGCGGTGGTTGTAGTGTGGTGGTGGTGGTAATGGAAGGAGATAGTGGTGTAAGTGACGGTAGTGAAAACCAATTGAGGTGATGGTAGTAGAAGCCAATGGAAGTGACGGTGGCGGTGATAGAAGGCAATGGAGGTGGCGGTGGTGAAATGTGGTGGTGGTGGTGGAAGTCAGTGACGTTGCTGCGGCGGTGATGGAAGGTGGTGGCAGTGGCGGCGACGATGGTGGTGGAAGGTGGTGACGGTGGTGGTGGTGGTGGAAAAGTGGAAGGTGGTGGCGGTGGTGGTGGTAATGGTGGTGAAGGCGATGGTGGTGGTGGAAGGCGATGGTGGTGGTGAAAGGTGGTGGCGGTGGTGGAAGGTAGTAGGGGTGAAGGTGGTAGTGGAAGGTGGCGGCTGTGGTGAAAGGCAATAGCAGTGGCGATGGTGGAAGGTGGTGGCGGTGGTAAAAGGTGATGACGGTGGTGGCGATGGCGGTGGTAGCGAAAAGCAGTGAGCGGTAGTGAAAGAATATAGTGGTGGAGGTGGTAGACAGCGGTGGTAGTGGTGAAAGTCGATGGTGGTGGTGGTGAAAAGCAGAAGTGGTTGTGGTAGAAGGTAGTGGTGGTTTTTGAATTTGAAACATGAAGGTTCTTTGGGGTGTTGATTTAAAAAAAAAAAAAAAAATCAATTACTTAAGAATTTCCATAAATTTAGTTGTGGAATGGATTTTCATTCCAAGGAAATTACCATTTCCACTTTAAATGCACAACAAACATAGAAATTATTAGAATAGGCATTCCATTCCTACACACTAAACATAACATTAGAAGAGAGTACATGAAAAATATAACCATTGGTGTTTTTGATACATGCATTGTGTGTCTAACACTAGCATAAGAGTTATAGTGACTTGTCCTTCCTCTGTCAAGCACTTTGTGATTTCATCAAAAGTTTTAGCCTAATGTCCCTTACCATTTGAAATTTTAATTTCCTATATGAAGATGGTGGTTATGTACACAAAATATACACACACGTATAATATAACAAGGTAAATTCTACCTACCTCCCCCTAAAGTTTATCAATATTCCACATAGACCCCCTCTAAGTTTAATAATCCCACGTACCTCCCTTAACCAGAAAGTCAATTCTGTCCTTCTAATACCTGAAATGACAGCAAACATTTTATGGGCAAAACAATGAAATAACACACTAGAAGGGAAGTACGTGGGATTATGAAATGTAGAGGGAGTCTGTGAAATATTGACAAACCTCGTGGACTATAATTTCATATAGGAAACCTATTTGGAACAATTGAACACAAGGCTGGTGGTAGTTAATTAGCAACCAGTAGAATAAGATAAACAAAATTATATCGAGAGACAAGCTTTAAAACCAACCTTTAAGCTGATAAGCTGTACAACTTGGCCAATGTACATAAGCAATTGAATAGGCATTATAAAGCGAAATTGCCACTTGACACCTTACAGAAGCAGAGCAACAGAAAATTCTTATCAGACTATCGCTTCAACCATTGTTGAAGTTTTTTAAACTGTGATGTTGAAGTATGGTGTATAAGATTCATCTATGAAGTTGTAAAATGGAGTCAAAAGGAAATTCCTATTGGTCCCTTTTGCCACAAAACTGATAGGATGATACGAACTTGTTCCGTTATTCAGCACAAAGCTGACTGCCTCCTTAAATCCAGCATCTGGTGGTGCCCCAGCAGATTGGCATTGGAGCTTGATGGTTCTAACAGCGCTATATTTCCCCCCAGTAACCCCATAATACACAAAGCAACCCTTCTGGCTACCAGACTCTAATGAAACTGTTCCGGGCTTCCCATTCAATCCGGCAACCAAGTGGAAAACAGAATTATTATTGTCTGGAGCTGCAACTATAAGGTTTCTATTAGTTCCTTGGTGCGCCACAACCATGCCTGGAAAATTAATTGGTTCTAGCATGACCAATTTCCCAATAGCATCTTTTGGTGCAAAACATTTCAGGGAACCAGTAGCTGAGTCCTTTAAGACGAGTCTAAAAGTGGTCCGTAAAGATTTGTCAGTGCCGGGCGAAGGAAAGGACTCCATGCTTATATGTTGGACTAAGTTTGTTAATAAAAGCGCTGACTTCCCAGAACCATGGGAAAGGGAAATTAAATTAGAATGATATGCTGCCGGAATTGGAGTAATCCAGTCCGAGAGGAACTTAGATTTTCCTGTTTTAATTTTCCAGTCTTTTCTTGTCATACCAGCTAGAAGGTAGGGGCCATAAAGAATTGCCTGAATGCTGGCAAATTTAGACCTTTCATCTGAAGCATCAGGTAACCTTTTGTTAGTTTCATCCTAACACAAATTAGCTTACTTAGCTTTCGATATACATTGAACATCATAATGTATAAACTTGTTAAGGGAGCATCCCAAGAAAATACCTTTAATGGCCTCGGTTCTAAGTCTGAGGGGCAGTTCAAGAGTGATTTTGTCACCAGAATTCCATTGTCTAGTGACTGATAGAAATTTACCTGCATCATCAGGATGGAGAGAATTATGAACTTGTACATTCAGCTTCAAAAAACAAAAGGTATAATGGAACCCAAGAAAAATACAGTAACGGATTAGAAGAGAGGAAGACGGAAGTTCGAACCTGGAGTTGGTTGAGGCAAACCCTGGCCATTTAAAGTTGCCTTAACACCATTTGCCGGTGCCCAATTTGGAATTCGCAAATTTATAGTAGATGATTGGCTTGCCCCTTTCTGCATCCATAAATTAATCACAGGAAAAGAAATTTAATAGGTCTATACATAATGCTCAGTTTGGTTGCAGGAAACATGGAGAAGAAACTTGAACTTTATGATCACTTGGGTTAGAAAGAATTTAAGGTTCCAATATCTGCCAACCAAAATATATTTTATTTACCTACCAAAATATTTCAATATCTACTTTATATCTCTCCTCATTGGCATCCAAGTAGATTGCTAAGAAATGTTTAAATATTAATTTTTTCTTCCTTTTTCCGGCTTCTTTTGGCTTAGGATAACCGCATCAAGAATTTGAGTTAAAACTAAATTATGCTAATTAGTACACATATTATTTATATTTTTTAAGGTAAACTACCTCAAACATGGAATTCCCATTTCTTTCTCCAAAAATAATCCAAATCTTTTCGATGTTGTTCTTGTAACCTGCATACCTTTACTTAATCAAAGAAATTATAGCCACTATACAAATTTTTTTTTCCCGAAAACCGGGGTGTCCGGGCTTTGCCCCAACTAATCCAAGGGACTCGTGCAAGGCGACCTCCCCACACAAATTGGGTAAAACTCGGACTATGTCAGCGGTCGTGGCTCCAAGAAATTGCTCGCACCTAAGGGGAATCGAACTTGAGACCTGAAGCTTAATGAGGCTCCAGGGCCCAAGCCTTTTCCACTAGGCCAACCCCTTGGGGTTACCCCTATATAATATTACACAGGCAGTTTTCATCTATTTTTGGTAAATATAAAATGAGCACATGCATGAGAGGGAGAGAGGGGGAGAGAGAAATCTCACTAACAAAAAGAGACACCATCTGCTCATATCTTTAAAGGTGGATTAGTTAGAAAAGATTGTCTTTAGGATTTTTTTTCAATCTAAGATGATCGAAAGATAGGGAAAATGTAACCTACAAAGAGTTAGTGAAATGAGATATAGCATTCCTTTACTTTGGAAAATTATAAAACCAAGTAAAACTTATGTGCTATAAACACAAAGATCTCCCAAGATTCCTAGAGGTATTTTTTCCTATTTTCAGATGGAATGCTAGTTAGACTGATACTTCCACAACAATTTATTAGAAGATGGATGGTGTATAAGGAATAAAGGAGGCAGTTCCTTGTTCTGATGTTGAGCAATTTTTGAGTTTCTTGCTTCAGTTTACAATAAAATAACTAAGAACGCTGTTCTGAAAGTAATCTACTGTAATTAAGAACAATATAATTCTCTAGTTGCTAACATTTACCTCCTTCAAGGAGATTGTTATTGTCACTTGAAGACGAGAATCCCAAGAAACAACAGGTTTTACAGCCTGATTTATCAAAATCTTCCCAGATTTCCAATCAACTGTGCTTGATATGTACTGGATGATGTAAAGCCCCGGAGCTTTCCCCTCTTCTTCAAAGTATATCGAATCTCCTAACTTCGAGAATGACTCGAGTCCTTGACAAAAATAAAAAATAAATAAGTAAATAAAGGTTAAGGAAAAGGTAGAACAGTATTATGCTATATGAAATAATTTAATCAAACAGAAAAAGGGAAGAAAAATAGAATGGATAAAGGTTGAGCAGTATGAAACGAAATCATTTAATCAGAATCAGAAGGAAATTACAAAACTACTTATAGAAAAAAACACATGTCGAACCACATATTAACTAAATCCTGACAGTCAAAACCACGAATGAACAACCAATTCTCCCAGACATAAGGGAATAAGAATGCAAATCAGAAGATCTGAAGAATCTATGGGGCAGTTAAAAAGATTGTTTGGGGATTTTTAAGTCGATCGATTACTGAAAAGAAAAAAAAAATTTAGTTTCGAACAAAAAATGGTTTATATTTATGAGGTTTGAAGCCCAGACCTGTCCCCTGGCAGCAGACAAAAGACTCGTACTTTGTTCCCCATCCATGCAAGCTTTTGCCCTTAGAACATCCATGGCATAGTGGCAGCGTATAGATCATTGCTCCTGGATCCTTTCCCCTTTGGATGCCCAGCACACCATTGGTCAGAGCTCGCTCGTAATAATCTGCATATTTGATATCTTTGGTCCATCTAAACAGGTTGCGTGCGATCTACAAAATCATAAGCTATTTGATGCTGGTAAAAAACAGCACTTTTATACTAAAACAATAGAAATTTTAAATTGAAAAGTGATTTCCTGTTTTGACTGAAAACTTTTTTATTCAGAGCTTTTTGATAAAACAGAAATTTTAAATTGAAAAGTGATGTCCTGTTAAATGAAAAACACAGGTGCTGTTTGATAAGACTGAAAATTTTAAGAGCTGAATTTTTAGTCCTGAAGTTTTTAAGTGGTAATTCAAAACTAAATACTTTTTGATATTTTTTTGAATTTCTCTATCACGTAAAATTTTAACCCATTTTAAGCGGCGCTTACCGTTTTCAATGATTTTCAAATTGCGTAATCAAACGTACTTAATTGGATAAACGTTGAATCCGTTCAAAATTAAGCGCTGAATTGAGATATCAAACAACACCACTCTCACTCTCACTCTCACTCTCACTCTGTCCTAAAAAATCCCCAGTATCCCTGCTAATTCAACCCCATACATTTCTGAAGGCTTAGTTGAGTCATGTGTCAGAAAAGAAAAAGAAATAAAACAATAACAAAGAGAAAGACATATATGTTATAATAATAATAACCAGCATACCTTTAGCATGTTATAAGTTGCACATGATTCTTCAGTTTCCGTGCTCAGAGAAGTTGCCAGTCGCTTTGGGTCAGTCCTGCTCATGGGTTGAGAAAATGAGAACAAACCAGAATCGCACAGGAAATTCAGCAATCAAGACAATAAATAAGTATAAAGCTTTTCACTGATAGTTGTTATTATTAAACACTATTTAAATTTCCAACTGTTGGTACCAGAACTCGCCACGTGATGTCCCTCCAGTTGCATAGGTGTGAGAAGAGTTGAGAATATCCATGAAAAATGTTGTCATGTCCTGCCATAAAAAATCAAAAAACAATGATCCAAATATACAACGAGAATAGCCATTCTTCAGCAAGAAAACTGTAGTGCTACTTAAAAGGTGCAGAATTAAAATTAATTTCCATGGTTTCTCCCTCTTGAATGCATCTCAATTAGAGAAATATTTAGGACTACAGTCTTCTACTCCACAATTTATGCTGTCAAAACAGAAATTTTTGTATCTTTTGAAGGGCCCAAGTGAGGTAATTTTTTAAAGCAACTTAAATATATGGTGCAACAGGTTTAAATCTGAAGCCTTGGGTTATTGGTTTTATGATAATTAGATAAAAGGGTAAATCCAATGCACGAGACTCTCGCAAATGTGTGGTTTGGGGAGGATCAAATGTATGCAGTCTTACCTCCTTATATGGAGAAGCTGTGTACTTGGTTTGAGCTCGTGACCTCCATGTCACAATGGTGCAACCTTACCATTGAACCAAGGCTCACTGCCCAATTGGGTATATACAACTAAAGACAAATCAAATAAAATTTTTGTATCTTTTGAAGGGCCCAAGTGAGGTAATTTTTTAAAGCAACTTAAATATATGGTGCAACAGGTTTAAATCTGAAGCCTTGGGTTATTGGTTTTATGATAATTAGATAAAAGGGTAAATCCAATGCACGAGACTCTCGCAAATGTGTGGTTTGGGGAGGATCAAATGTATGCAGTCTTACCTCCTTATATGGAGAAGCTGTGTACTTGGTTTGAGCTCGTGACCTCCATGTCACAATGGTGCAACCTTACCATTGAACCAAGGCTCACTGCCCAATTGGGTATATACAACTAAAGACAAATCAAATAAGATAATTGTTCATATTGAATTCTTAATAAAATGAAATATTTATATATCTTTTAAGCACTACATATATGTTATGCTAAAATAATATAATATAAAATTTATTGGATCAGATCACTATAAAGCCAAGGCTAATCCGTTGGTTAACAAATGGACTAATTTTGGTTCATCACCATAAATTTGAATTAAAGGAGACAGGATTCATAACAAAATTCCATCTATTACATATAAAAAAACAAAAAAAAAAAAAAAAAAAAAAATCTGTCTATTGAAAAGCCGAATAAGGACTGAATTCCTAGAAAACCAATGTGGCTCTCCCTCTTGACTTCTTTAGAGGTCATTTTACCTCCATGATTGTTAGAACTATTACTTCATTGAGGGATGAGTAGATGTCCTCCAGTTTTTTTTATCTTAGTAGTTTTAGGTACTTGTAAAAGGAGTTCTCATCATTCTTCGATGTACTTCTATGAACTCCAAAAAAATAAATAAATAAATAAAAGTCGCTGCCTATGTAGTTGCTTGCCCTCAACAGATAAGACAAAGTAGTAAACCAGAAGTTCCAATTATCAATATCAGGAAAAAATAAATAAATAAACTTAATAACACTCCACACAAAAAACTGAAATGAAGAAAAATGCTTCGTTGAGTTAGTATGCTCCGAGGACTGTTATTGAAATGAATTATAGCCATTTACCCTGTAAAGTGGATCACCAGTAACTTCATACCGCCTTTGAGCTCCAATAACATGTGCAAGATGTGTGTTAGCATGAAAACCACCTATATCATCAGCCTACAAATAAAAGACAGAAATTTAGCAATGTTATTTGAGAAATAAGAATAATATGGATTATGTGGTTGATTTAAATCGCAACAAAAAAAAAAAAAAAAAAAGTAGGTAAAAAATCATGAATATATATGCTAAGCTTTGCTATTTATAGATAATGAATGACATTGAAAGCTCAGATTCCAGTTGACATAGAAAGCACTGATTACAATTGGTATCAGAACTTCCTGCATCAAGGATAGAAGTAAAAGATCAAGGAATTGGTTAGACTTTTTAAGTAAATTATGAACCAATTCATGTTGAAGAATGGATTCCCATGGTGAATCATTACATTAAATAACAGCAACTCTTTTTCACATACATATATATATATATATATTTTCCTGATTAACTCTATTTCATTATTTTCACTTCTAATCAAAACCAAAAACCTAGAGGCCTAACAAGGAATACATGGATCAGCTTTCTTAGAAAACATAAAGCATTGTTCTTCAATATGAAAACTACACATACACAGCTATCCCATGGATTCTTTGCAATGAAAGGACAATTCAATTATCTATTTTATCAATCTTTTAGGTAGACATCAAGCAATGTCTTCAATATGAAAACTACACTCTTTGGTATGAAATGGAGGAAAAAAAAAAACACAAAACCAACAGGAAACTTATTACTATATAATTACGAAAAAAAAAAAAAACTTACTAGTATATAGAAAAGAAAATGAGAAAACCTACCTTTACTGCCAGGATTCCTAGGAAACAGGGTTTGTCAAAAAGATGAGCCAACAATAAATGCTTTTGATCATGCTGCACAAGGTAAAAAATAAACGGCTATTATTAGAACAGAAGTTCAAAAAATATTTGTGAAAATTGTAAATATAATAATAGACTATGGTACTAATAGCTACAAACAATTTACAATACCACCCTGCAATTTATGGAACTGAGGTTAATTACTTTACGAATGTAATAGTGTTGTAATGCTGTATGTGGATGAGGGTTACGCACCGTTATGCTGTATAACTCATAAAGGACATCACTCATGGCACCAACTTCTATATTTAGTGTTTGATAGTGTCTTTCTATACTATAATTTGATATCACATTTTGCACACGCTTAAAAAAGTATTCCACCATGCGAATCATCATTTTCAGAGCTTGATCATTACCCGCTAATGTGTATTGGTCCAACAGACCTGCCAATATCTGTGAAGAGCGTGCAGAGTAAGATAAGAATAGTTGTGTAACAGAAATTGATTAACAATTTTTTTCCCCGGAGGTTAAAAATAGCAGAAATGGATTAACTATTATAATACAATGTTAAAACATATTTAAATTGAACAGCCAGTGTTGCAAATTTTTTATTTATTTTATTTTATTTTTTTGTGGTGTAATTTTATACCTTGTGAATAGTGTAGTATGGTGACCACACAGGCTGTACATGTTCCAATAGGTCAAAAAGCTCATCTGGGAAAGCAGAAAGATACCCTGTACCGATTTTATTCTGACAAGCCGCGAGAGCAGAAACTACCGCATTCATTTTCTCTTTGACAGCATTATTATGAGTGCTCGCCCACATTAAAGCTGTTGCACTCAGGTAATGTCCTACAATATTTCAAAAGCATTTTAATTAATTGTAAAAATTAAGTACAGATGTTATGATTACACTACCCAAAATGTATATTGGCTCAAAATCATACAATTAATCACTCAAAAATGTGTCATAATTATATTAAACAAGAAACAAACAGAGCACACGAAATGAATGATATGAAAGGTACCTACAAAATGACCCCGGAGCTCGGTGTTAGGATCTTCCCAACCTCCATGTGGCTCGCCAGGAGTGGGCAAACCGGCTGTCTTCCTAAAGCTCCAAACCAATCTATCAACATCTAACACCAACATGTATTCCAAGTTTGTCTGCTGAGCCTGCCAATGATATGATGAAGGGTCATTAATTCTCACATCATGAAGAGACACCTCCTTGAGGGTCACAGGCAGTTTAAACCCAACTGAATCAAGTAGTTTCTTGGACAATATCGCCCAATTCTCCTCATCCACCGGAGTATTCGTCGCGTTCATACGGTATTGCAATAACAACTGTGCCCTCATTGTTGCATTTTTTAAATGTGTTTTCGGTAGTAAGTGAGTACACATCTTACCCGAAGCACATACACACAAAAGAGATAACACAACACCTACAACCGAAAGCATCATCAAAGGCTTCATTGTTATCACAACACCAGCATTGAATGCCTAAATTTCCATGTGAATTAAGCTAAAAGAATGTATGTATGTATATATATACGTATATATGTGTGTGTGTTTCGTGTGTGTTGATTGGTGACTCCAATTTATATTTAGACTTCGCCCAAAAAAATTAAAATTATTTATAGAGATGAAATGATGAATCAATCAATGAATGCGCCAATTTGGGTTAAAATCAAACACTCTCGACCGTGAAAGATAAGATTTTTTTTTTTTTTTTTTTGCCAATTTGGGATCAAATCAACAAGATATTCTATTGTTGGTGAGAGAATAATAATAGTGAATTGACAGTGGAAAGGACAAAAGTTAAGTAGAAAAAAATGGAGGAAAAGAGTTTGAATTTGTCAAGAACAACCACATGTATGGTATATATATAATATATCAATCAACTGAAAATAAACGGACAACTGATGATAAACAAAAAGCAGTATCGTGTATTTACCACCGCCACCACCACCGCCAGCCGCCGGGCAAACCATATTGACGTCCAACATCTTCTTCCCCCACCATCCCGGGGGAGGGGGTAGACCCAACTTATTGATTGTTCAATCATGTTTAAGTGGAGAAAATAAATAAATAAATATCATGTTTAAGTGGTTTCTATAAGAAAATTAATTCAAATGTTTTTCGAACAAAGTAGATTCTTACTAATAATATTTTTGGGTGAAATACATTGACCTCTCCTTTTGGCTTGTCCAAATACTATCTTTTTCTCATAAAATGTATTATTTTTGGGGAACGGTAACTTTCACAAATTGACCTAACATGGTTTCCCAAAAACAACACTTTTTTTTTGGACCGAAAAGATAGTATATTTCAACCAAAAATATTGTCCAAAGTCACTAACTTTTCCTAAAGTTTTGTCCAAATATCTCTGTATTGACATTAGTGTCAAAATAGCCCTTGAGCTCCCTTGAGATTTCTCAAAATAAACCAAGACTCCTTGAGATTTGTCCAAATTTCTCTAACCACCACCTGTTAATGTTAATCAGTTGAATATTTTCTAAATGCTCAAACTACCCTTAAGTGAGAGAAAATGGCTCAAATGACTTTGTTAAAATACCAAATGAACATTCAACCAAATTTAATAGGACAAAACTACAATTTCTTATATCTACTCTTTTAGATTGTTTTTGCAGAGTTGAAATAATTTTTTGGCAATGTTTGTTGATGAATCTGTTTGGCAGTGTCCTTTCCAAGTGAATAGAAAGGGTTACAGGCATGTCAGGAACTAATGTCGTTCCAAAGAAGAGTTCCAAACAATATTCCAATGAAAAATTGTCGGGATTAAGCGATTAAAAGGAAGCTTGGAATGACCACTTCCAATGGTTCTTTTTGCCTTGAAAAAAGACTTCAGGATTGTTCTAGTGCTAGTGGAAAGAAAGATAAAATTGAAAGTGCATGACTTGAAATTAAAAGTGCTATGAACTACTTGCTGGAAAGTAGGAAAAAAAAGTGTTGGACTTGTATTAGACATAATTGAAATACATTACTAGAATGGAAAAATACATTAAATAAAATTGATAAGCAAAAATAATGTATTGTTGTGTATGTTGAACATGATTTGCATTTTAGGCCAAAGTGCTCTATTTATAGAGCTTTTCATGCAGCAGTGGGAAATGTGGCAGTTCCAACAGCTTCCACTTGGCTTGTCCTTGGGCTACCATGTGTCCCATGTTCTTGGTAGTTACCCATGTTTTGTATCTGGTGGTTCCGAGGGTCGCACCCCAAAATCCACAGTTTGTGATACCAAAAGATAATGGTGTAGAGCTACGATGAATGTAGCCAAGTTTTACATTTACAAATTACCACTACTACCTTTCACTAAAAATATAGTTAGGGCAAGTAGGGATCGTCCCAAGGGATTGGTGGGTCGTACTAGGTTAAGGAATCAAGATTAGGGTTAGTAGGTCGAGTGATTAAAAGATTGGTTGGTGGTTGAATTACACTAAGATGCAATTTAAACTAAAGTAGGCAATTAAATGTAATGGAGAGAAAATAAGAGAGAGATCTTGAGATTTAGAGATCACCACTAAGCATAGTTTTTCTACACCCTTAATGAATGATTAATGAGGGGGAAAACATTATTGCAACAAAGTGTGTGTATGTTTGTTTCAACAAGCATGGATGACAAATTAAACATATATTGTCTAAGCAATATGGTGGATAGCACAACATATTAAATTAAGCCATTAATCCTTTCTTTAAGCTCACAACCATTCACATCACAAGGTTAGAGATATGTGCTACTTGCTTTCATAAGCATGGAACATCAAACAACAAGCATGGATTGTCCTCCCATTTAACATCTAAACTACAATTACACTACAATTAAGCTAATGACATGAAATTAAACTAAGGGAGAGGTATAATCCATCAAGAAATGAGTATAAACCATCAAATAAATCACAAAAATATTCCATTAAGCACTATGTCTTGACAATCTCTAGATCTATAGCATTAATACACACAGACATGTATCAATAACATAAGAAATAGAGACAAACACATGAACATTTATTCTAGCATACATAGACATATGGATAGAATAAAATGATCAATTGGAAGCATTAAACCACATAAATCATTGAATAACCAAGATCTACATATATAATAGTGTCAAAATATGTATCACAATACAAATCCTCTAAAAAATACATAAATCAAGGTGTAGAAAGCATGTTTAGGGCTAACTCTAGCCCCAAGAGGATGTCTAGCCACCATGGATGGTGTCCTCCAACCCTCAAGGGCTAACTCCATGATAGAGATTGCTCCTCTTCTTGGTTGATGGAAGAATTCCAAGCTTGTGTCTCTAGCCTCCTCCTTTCTTTTCTTCTTCACTAAGAATATCAATATTGTGCCTCTCAAGTGTCTAAAAAGTCTCTCTCAAAAAGTGGCTCATATTCCTTATATAGGTAGGTCAAATATCACCCCAAATGAGCTGGGCTCGTACAACAATATTCCTTCCAATGAGATAACTTTTAATGAGCTGGAATTTGGATTTTCTCGGGATTTGGGAAGTTCGATCGATCGAACTTGTGGTGAGATCGATCGAACATAGCTGAGATCTATCGAATTGAAGCTAGATCGATCCTCTATGGCGGCCCCTTTTTGGATAAAAACAAATCTGAGATATTTTGAAGATATTTTTGGGAAAAAGACAAATGTGGTAGGTAAGGTGGTACAAGTGGATAAGATGGAATCTTTTCGATCGATCGGAAGAAAGTTAGATCGATCGAACTTTGTGGGATCTTTGGATAAGGACAAAAGAGTTTGGATCCATCTTGGAATGCTGAGATCGATGAACGTTCGATCGATCAAATATATTCTGAGATCGATCGAACTTGCTAAATTTCCACCACTTGCTTCCTTTTGCTCCCACTTTGCTCATTTCTTTGATTCATCTCAAGATTGCTTTAATTATGCTCTTATTTAGCTGAGTTAGCTTATTTTGGGAATAAGTACCTGAAAATGAAAATAATACGAAATCAATCTAAAGTGGGAAAATAAGATAGATAAAGGTCCTAGAACACCTAAGCTTAACGGGTTTAAATGCGCACTTTTCAGCACTTATCACACCCCCAAACTTAAATATTGCTAGTCCCTAGCAATGAACTAGAAAGTAAGGGAATAAAATGAACAATTATACAACTATGAACTAGAAAGCAATGAATGGATAACGCCACTTTCGTAGGGAACACGATTATATTTAGCATATGCAACAAACCTTTTAAACCCCTAGGTTACCCCTAGTGAACGTGTGAAGTCTCGTGAGGGTTTCCATAAATGATACCCACAAACATTAAGCTCATTCTTTCAAAACAGGCACCAATATTACAAACAAGCATTAGGAGAAAACTACCTCAAGTATGCAATTTTTTAAACATTTCCAAGCAATCTCCAAAAATCTCAACATCAAGCAAACAAGTATGGTCCTCCACACATCAAGAAAATGATCATGAAAATCAAAACAACTCTAGAATCCTTTTTGAGTGGACCGGCATCAAGTATGTTGCTATCTTTGCCAACTAAAGAATTAATCACATCCTTACCCTCAAACTAGCACACAAATCTAGTACCGATCATCAAGACAAAGAGTGGACCTTTTATTAAAGTTTTATTATTCTAGGTGCGCTTATTCTTTTCACTTGTTTTTTTTTTTTTTTTTTTTAGAATCAAAGACGGAAGCATGATGCAATGTGTTGATCTATTAAGCTTTCTAGCGATTCATGAGGTTGAGCGTTAGGTCAGTGACTCCCAAACCAGACGGCTTTAGGGCATTAGGCGTTCAAACATCCCTAAAGACTTACAAGCTCAAATCAACTAGGATACAAATCAAAACAACCTCCATCTAATCATTTCCCACTTCTCACCTTTTGGGAGAGGTCTTCACTTTTTTATTGTTTTTGCAACTTTTTTTCTTTTTCATTTTTTTTTCTCAAGTTATTAACCTAGAGTTCGGGCCCTCCACCTTTCGGCACGAGAAGTTCAGTGCTTGATGAGGCTAGAATCCTGGCTACTTAGTGAAAAGGGGTTGTTATCCACCTTTATCAAGAATGAAAACTTTCAATGCACTACTAGCTCAATTGGAATATAACCAATTCAATAATCAACAAAGCATGTACCCTACAAATGAATGCTAGTGTGTGCCTGTGCTAGTGTAGAGTACTAGAGTGAATCTCAAAACAATCATAAAATCAGGATGATGTGGACCACAAGTGCAAGCATGATATCAATCTTTCAGAAAATTTACTCCTAAATGGCATCCACAAGGCATACAAGGAGTATTGGACTCTCAAGTCAAGCAATTTTTAAATTTTAAGAAATATAGTCCTCAAAAGATCAAAATCATAGCTAGTTATGGACCAATCATAGAAAATCCCTCAAATACACAAGTCATGCTAAAAATTTTGAATTTAAAGCAAATACTACAAATCACATTATTACCCCCAAACTTAAATGGCACAGTGTCCTCAATGTGCAAAGAGAACAAAAGGAAAGAGTATACCAGTGCAACTATAGCAAAGAATAGCCGAAACAGAAGTATCCAAAGTAGGTGGCATAGCCCCCCTAAACTTGGGATTAACTGTGGTCCTAAAAATTTTGCACTTGGATAAAACTCATTAGATAACAAAAGGGATAATAACAGTGCACAGTGGACATGCAAGTGTAAATAGGATAGCAACTGAAAATAGAGAGAGGTATAAGGGTGGTCCTGAAAATTTTGGGCAGTACTCTCTCTCACTGAAGTCACTAGGATACACTTGATGGAGTCAATCACAAACAGATATATCAATACAAGGTATGACATCCAACATATAACATGTATAAACAGAAATAATATACATCATAGCACAGTATCAGGGCCAACAGACTGGCCGCAAAAATATAGTAACAGTAATAATGTATCACAGATATATAAAATGACAGGAGTAAAGGGATAGAGAGATCAGGAAGAGGAGGTAGGACGGGCAAGGCGTGCTCCGCAGATATCTCGAGATAAGTCTCGCAACGCAGCCATGGCATCGGTACGGAGAGATGTAATGTCAGCTCTGATGGAGACAGCAACCTCTCGGATAGA